TGCATGCCATGTTGATGGTTTAGGACAATGCTGGAGTGCAGCTACAGTTCGTGCTATTGCGGATTACCAAGCCACATCGTAAGAACGGTCAGCCTACAGACTGCGACAGATAGCTTCCAGCTACTCCCTTGGTTGTGTTGCACTTTTGGTGAAGATGTCTTTGCTGCAGGTTATGTCCCTCGGCCGATGTGCAAAATGCGAAAATGCCTATCTGCGAAAATGCCTATCTGTCGCATTCCGCTACCCCAGAGGCGGTTCTGATGTCGAGTAGAACAGGATTCAGCGAAGACAGGTACATCACCGATATTCTGCCACTGCTTGACACAATGGCGAAGGGTTCACCTCATCACTGGGTCTGTCAGCATTCCTCGGGTGCCTTCTAGTAGGTACTCCAGTTTTAAAATTGCAGCTTTTTAATTTCCCGAGAAAGTGCTCAACTCGAGCATTACTTGGTAATCCTGCTGTGGTTGACAAATTTACCCAATTAATTTGCAAGGCTACCCGGTGCATGCTACTCTCCTGGTGGTAGATCGTCGAGGCTGCTGTGATTTTCAATGCTGGACGAGTTAAATCATTAAACTCAACCAAAATACTTGCTACATATCAATGCACGGGCAGAAATGCATTAGAGACAAAGACGAGGAAGACTAAAATAGCCACTTCTGGCTTGGTTACCGTCATCAGTTACCATCACCAGGCGTAGCGACCCCCGAGGCTTGAATCCGCAACCTGTTGACCAGAAGTCCAACGTTCTAACCACTGCACGTCGAGCGTGGCTAACCCTAGGTTTGAGTACGACTGGCTGATGATGACGAACAAACCAGAAATAGCCGCATTCCAGTCTCCCTTGCCTTTGTCGGGAATGTATTTCTGTGTGTAATATGTTAGCCGTTGAGCAGCTGCCGGCGGGGTTTGAGAGATAACCCCAATGCAAGACGGACCCATTAGCGCCTATCACCCATATTAATGTATACCATGACCAACAGGAACAGTGTGGGCCCGTCGCTCAAGGAGCGAGTGATACATATTCAACGACCAAAAGGTCGCGGGCTTGAATCTCCACAGCCCGGATTGGGTATCACTGACTGGTAACAGCTAAATAACCATAACTGGCCATATTGTCTGAACACGGCGTACTGACCTTCTGAGTCAACCGCATAGACCGCGGCCACACCTGCGGGCTGCCGTGGCATTGCGTCGTCATCCCCTTCCCTTCATACTCAGAGAGCTGTAGCAAGCCTCACCCCCCCCCTCCGCCCAAAGTTCGAC